GAAAAATGAAGTTTAAAAGACTCTTAATTATGTAGTTTGTTTGGAACTTTGCTTCCTAATTGCCGATGTGATGTGATGCTGTTGCTGCCCCCATTTTTGTTGCTTACAAGTCAGGCGGGTAAAATGGAGGCTTAGCTTAGATCAAATCAATGTATCTAATTAATTAGTGTTATTCACAAATTGAGTTCAATTTCTCCCCTCCTTTCTCCAGTTAAATAGCTAAATTTACTGCCCACTACGATTTTCTTTTAATGTTTGACGTGTGGATTTGATTATCTAGATTATAAATTATCAATCCCACTTGTAACATAAATCTAAGTTATCAAAATATTATGGGTTGTTATTGCTTTTACAAATAATAAACTTATCAACCAAAATATGAATACAAGTTTCTATAAACATATATAATATAGATTTGAATAAATTATCAGCATAACTCAATAGTAATTAGCATATATCTCTAATAAAGAGGTCGTGAATTCGAATAACAATAAAAATGATAGATATGTATATATATATATATATATATATATATTTAATTTTTGGAACGAAAGTTATAGAATGTAATATGGAATCTACTTTAAGTAATTTGTTATTTTTAAAACAGATAGCAATGAATCAAATAAAATATAGCAATACAATTAATTTTGTAGGAATATTATATAGTAAATAATCTCATAGAAATTTAAACCTTCCACATTAAGATTTAATAGTTGTACCATTCATTTTTAAGATATAAATAGTTATTACATATGTTAATTTGAGATGAACATTTATTTTAGTTCAATCAACGATCTTAGAGATAGTAATACGTGACTTTATTCCTTAGGTTAATACACCAAGATGGAAAAAGGAAAAACAAATACATTATCCCCTTCTAATTGAAAAGAGGGAAAATTTTTACTTAAAAGATTAGAGCCTACCTCCATTCCTATTCCTACACGTTTTAATTATTTTTAAAATATGTTTATTAACTTTTGTACTTATATATTGGGAAATATAATTTTATTTTATTTTTTGCAAAATTAATAATTTAGATAACTAATTTTCGAAAAATTTAAACCGGAATTGAAATTGTTTATGGATGAAAAAGGTATCTCCAACCTGGCTCCGTTGTCATCGGTTAACTAGTGCTTTTTTTTTTAAGTGTTTGTTTGTTTGTTTTTTTTATCAATTTTAAGTGTTTGTTGAAACTTAAAAGAAAAGCGTTTTTAAGTTTTTAGTTTACTCTCCCAAATTCACCTTTTTAGAAAAATAATTAACATTTTTAACAAAGAAAGAGAAACTAAACCCTGCCCACGCGACATGCAGCAGGTGAGCAGGTGCTATCAGAAAAACGCTGCGTAGCGTTACGATTTCTCGATGAAATTCAAAAGCAAAGGTAATTTTGTCACTCCGTCTCTAATAAACAAATCGAAGAGAGTAAAACTGGTGAATGATCACTCACCCGGCCGCCGATGCTCGCTTTGTTCTTCTTTCTCTCCATACTAATCGTGATTTAGATTTCCGGTAACGCTCCAATCTCCTGTTTTCTTTTGGTTTTTCTTCATTTCTACTGCTTTTTTTATTTAATTCGTTTCGGCGATTCGGTTTTTATTTACATTTATGTTGCAGTTGCTAACGTCGACGAAATTATTAGATCAGTTGTTTCTTGTACATCTTTCGGATTCGAATGCTGAGGTTTTTTGAGTTAATGCGAATTTCCGACTTTATTGGACATTCACACATTGTGAAGTTTCTTTCGCCATTCATATCGGTTACCATATGCGTCCATTCATATTCTACTGCTGTACTGCTTGATTTTCATGTGAATCTCTTCTTCTTCTCTCTCTCTCTCTCTCTTGCGGATGACACACTTGATTTCTGTTTCCATCCTTTTTTTTTTCCCCTGAATTGCACTTCGTAACAATGACTGCCGAGTTCGTCCTATTACGAAGGGATGAGCCCGACCGATTGCAATTCTCGTACTTCCACTGTACTTTCGTATAAACTTTCAGGGCTTCGACTTTGTGCGGATTAGATTCACTCTCTAGGAACATCTTTGCCTCTACAAGTCGCTTGAAGGATTCATTATCAAAGAGATCGAACCTTTGAGTTGGTATACTAGAGATTTCATACATTACAACTATGGGAACCACGCACCGGTATGCATATGCTGATTGTTTATCTTACTTGTGTTTTGTCTCATTGCCATTTTATATACATGCTAATTTATCTGGCCCGTTGGCTTTCATATTCTCATCACAGTGGAGGAACAAGAAAAGCAAATGACAGTTCAAGGATTATACTCACAACAATAGTGGGAGTGATCTTTGGATTTTTTCTTGGTGCTTCATTTCCTACAGTTTCTTTAACGAAGGTAAGTTTCGCTTCCTCAGAATGTCAAATGCAGCACCTTATACCTACATCCATTTGATACATTTCAAAATTTACAGATTAACTTACCTTCAAGCCTTGTATCATCTCTTGATGTAGCCATTGATGTGCATAGATCCTCTAGAACCGGAGTAACTGAGAGTGAGAGCCATGGATCACAAAAAGCTCCTAAGGTATCATTGTTGAATTCAGCAACTATTCCTTGGGAAAAAACTAACATTTCATTCAGACTCTTTTTGTTTATTAATTATATATGACGCAAGAATTTGACTATCTTTATAATATTTTTGTGGTTCATACTAAATTTTCTAATTTCTAATTTCTCATAGCTTCTCTTATTTTCTTTATGATCTACCAGATATATGTGCCAACGAATCCTCGTGGTGCGGAGTCATTACCTCCTGCAATTGTTGCATCAGAATCTGATTTTTATTTACRTAGATTATGGGGTGAACCCAGTGAGGTATATATGATAATTATGTACATACATTAATGTATAATCAAATTATTACTGTGCTGGGGCCTGGTGAATCCCAAGTTATTATTTAGAGAAAGAACTTGGGATAAGTTCTAAATAGTTTGTTGTTCTCTCTTTATATGGAATTGGCAGTATACTCTCTCAAAATAATTTATGATTTACATTTCATTTTAGACGGTGCCAATTGCTTACTCATGTCTGGGGAGAATATAGGATCTTCATGTTAATAACTGATTGCCTCTTTCTGTAGCCAAGGATATTTTTGTGCATATATTTTAGCTGTAGAGGATATGATAGCCTGACAGTGACTATACAATAAGCACTTTCCAAACTTATGGCTTTTTTTTTATTTTTTATTTGCATTGAACTGCCTATTGCCTATGGAAGGGATTTAAGCCTGTACTGAATACCCTTGCATGTGCAGGATCTAGAGAAAGAACCCAAGTACTTGGTAACGTTGACTGTTGGCTTTGATCAGAGAAAAAATATTGATGCAACAGTGAAAAAGGTCATTTATATGGACATGTGTTCAAATTGTTTATGTTAATTACTATGTTGCTGAGGCTCATGTTTTGTATTGTATCAGTTCTCGGATAATTTTACAATTATGCTTTTTCACTATGACGGTCGGGTTACTGAGTGGGATCAGTTTGAGTGGTCAAAGAGTGCAATCCATGTGAGTGTCAAGAAACAAACAAAGTGGTAAGTGGTGATATTTTGTATGCATTAGGTTATTTTTCATGTATAAGTTTTGTTGTGATTGGAACTTTAATCACATCTTTTTTTAGAATGCGTACTTGTATTCTTGTAATCGGAGGATTCAATTTCTTTCTCTTAAGTCTTCTTTCTTTTGCATTCCAGGTGGTATGCAAAAAGGTTTTTGCACCCTGATGTTGTTGCTGCGTATGATTATATTTTTATATGGGATGAAGACCTTGGAGTTGAGCATTTCAATGCAGAGAAGTAAGCCTATTTTCTTAGTGATGTTTGGTCCAATGCTATTTGCAATAGCTTTCTCTTATTGACTGAACAATCAGGTACATTGAGTTAGTGAAAAAACATGGTTTGGAAATATCCCAACCTGGGCTTGAGCCTAATAATGGACTGACGTGGCAAATGACAAAGAGGAGAGGTGACAGAGAGGTCCATAAGTAAGTTCTTGTTTTCTTTGGTTAGTATGTTAGGTTCTCACCTTTCATGTATGTGTTGGATTCTGACATCCATGTTTTCAACGGTGAACTAGGGAGACGGAAGAAAAACCAGGCTGGTGTAGTGACCCTCGGTTGCCTCCTTGTGCAGCGTAATTTTTCTCTTACCGACTCATGTTTCTCTTCCTTAGCAGGATAATATAATAAAAGAAAGACCTTGTATATGGTTGAACTCTAAAGTAGTTAATGGCTGCTCTGGAAGGTTCTCTACGTAGCTGAGTCTCTTCTTTACGAAGTCTAATGAGATATAATATAATATTGTTTAGAGGAGAACTACTAACTGGTGGCAATCTAGTTATATGATATCCTCACGAGTTTAGTTCATCAGTTTTCATATGTTACAGGTTTGTAGAAATTATGGCTCCTGTTTTTTCTCGGGAAGCTTGGCGATGTGTTTGGCATATGATTCAGGTATACTGTTGGTTACTACAGAATAAGATTGGGTTTCTTGGCGATTCATGAACTTACATACGTGTGACCTCGAGTATTTTTTATTTCTTGCTATATTTTATTTAATGACTTGTTATTCACTTGTAGAATGATTTGGTACATGGATGGGGATTAGACTTTGCTCTCCGAAGATGTGTAGAGGTCGGTGGTTCTCCCCTGATGTTATCCTTTCTATGACCTTTCGTCTCTCTTGTATACATTATATATTTTTTATCTGGATTCTGGTTCAACTTAAAACTTACTTTTTTGTCACTTAATCATTGCCAAAATTAAAGTGCATGAGATAATATGTAATGTAACACTGATCCAGAAAAGTTCAAGTTTTTTCACTGATTCTGCGTTGAAAATTAAGAATTGAAGTAGGTTACATCTTCTATGCACATACCGTCTGAATGAGATCGTCAACTCTTTTCTTTTGATGGATTTCTGCAGCCTGCGCATGAGAAAATTGGCGTAGTTGATTCACAGTGGATTGTTCATCAAGTAATTCCTTCTCTTGGGAGCCAGGTGAGAGTGTGCCTGCAGACATCATTACAAGTCTGCCAATTCATATGCAGTGGTGTGATTAAAACTAAAAGCGTTTTTAGACATCCCTAGAGTCTTGCTTGACTATAAATTTGCGATTCAATATCTGTGTCCTTGTCCATGTTTCTTTATTTCCCTTTGCTTCACCTTTTAAATTAGGTTTCTTTTTTTAAAATATTTGCCTTTATTTGGTATCTTATATTTAATTACATATTTACTTACAGGGAAAATCTGAGAATGGGAAGGCTCCATGGGAAGGGGTAAATATCAATGACAATTTCGTCTTTTATATGATGCTTTCTATATCTGGGCTACCGTATAGTTTTGCTCGCTATTTCCATTTTCAATCTAGTACATTTTGCCTCTTTCTTTCTTGTGTCTAATATTTTCATCGGTTCTAAAAGACCAACTAAACTAGTTACTTTTGCAGGTGAGAGCAAGGTGCAGAACCGAATGGGCTGAGTTTCAGTCTCGGCTTGCAAACGCCGACAAATCATACTTCGCCCAGACTAGTAAGGCGAAACGTTTATAGAAGAGACTACCCATCTGAACTGAAGCTGTCACAGTTATTTTGTACATGTCCTCTTTTAGGCTCGAGGCTCCTCTAACGGTCCTTGAGTGAGATATTTCCCTGATACATTTACATTTGTTGTAGGCTTCATTTTGTTTACTCATACAGAAATAATCCGTATAAAAGCAAATACACAGCAGCAGCCGTTTCCCCTGTTTTCTTCTATGTTATGTAGCTGTCTCTATGTTGGGCTGATGGACAATATAACAAAGAATTGTTCTAGGAATGAAGAGTAATATAAAACCTCGTATTGACAACTTTTAAACTGGCATGCATCTCTTTTTTCTATTATGATCTTAGTGGTTCCTTATTTTTCATTTTAGCTACGGTGTCAAGAGTCCAATTCAGGATGGTCCCATTGATTTTACAATGTTTCGTCATTGGTGGAGAACCGAAGATGACAGTTGACACCAGTCGCATCTAATTAAATTTAACCAAACTTTCCAAGGGACATAATTCACTCGGATCCGGTGGGCCATTTGTAATATTTAATCAAATTATGATATGGTTTTAGTCATTACATATGATTTTATTAGAGCAATACGTTACATTTAAATGTGGCCATTTTCATATTTTTCTTCCTCTCTCTCTCTCTCTTCCCCATGGTCTATCTAACTGCATATGACGGTACTAGATGTCATGATATTTTGTTCAGTCGACACATTGCGATTTTTAGCGTAGGCATAGTTACTTTATTTGTACTATTCTAAGTTGTAAATTTCTAATGTCATATATATGGTACGCTCTTGAATTATAATAACAGTTCTAAACTACTTGTTCCCTATATATCACTAACTACAGCAAAAACAAACAATCAGAATTGAACTTTATTACTATGTAATATTGTAGTTGATAAATTAGGAATAGATAAAAAAAAATGTGAAGCCTGAAGGAGCTGTAATAAGAATAGAGATGAAATGTTATTTTCTATGATGGGTTGTGAAAGAAAGAGTTAGATAAGGTGTCAAAATTAAGATAATAAGAGAGGGCTTCCTTAGAGGAACACCAATTTTAGGTATGGTGGGTGACATTAAAAGGGAATTAGCTCTGGAGTAAGATCCAAGATTCTTCTTCACCAAACAATAATGGAGTTTTCAGACACCCAAATCCTTTTGCTTGCATTGCTAGACACCTCTCTCTCTCTCTCTTTCTGGAGTAAATGTTGAGTTCACCATCCTGCCTTGTTTGCTAAGACTCAATATTAAGCATCTGCTTCAAAACACGTGAAAGTACTCGGCTAAACTTAAGCCAATTTACCTAGCTTTATACACATTCATTGGGCACTGTCTTCAATCTTCCACTCTTCTGTGAGCAAGTGATAAAAGAGAGTTGAAGAGTTTGAGGAACATTACATTATTCTAATCACGAAAATTATCGTTTTTTAATGAGCACGTAGTTATATTTGTGAAGGTATAATGGAAAACTACTGTAGCTAACATGAGTATAGTTTAGTAGTAAATAACATTTACTATATTTTTAGGTTAGATGTTCAAATACTCATTCCCCATATATATATTTGTTGTACTAAAAAAAGACCCTCTACTCAATAGGACATGTACTTTTAGTTTCAAAATTTTCAATTTGATCCTTATAATTTTAGAAGTTTCAAATCGGTTGCTTCGGTTTGGTCTCTACGATTTTATCCTATTTCATAAAATTGTCCTTGCTGTTATCCTGCGTGACATTTTTTTTATTTACATGGTAATTAACTAATATAATATGGTTAAGGGTGAGCGAAAAATAGGCCGGTTTCAAATGGGTAAAAACTAAATTACGAATGATTTGTGAGATTGAACCGAAATTATAGAGACTAAATTAAAACTGTAACGGAGTACAAATTCAAATTAACCCCAAACTGTAGGACCAAATGAAATGTTTAGGTTGAACTAAAAAAGAAGATGAAATTGTCGAAGGTTGATGGAGAAATTGAGTGTAGTGTTAAAGTCAAATCTCTTGAGAGGTGCTTTAAGTCATTTCAGAATAAAAATGTCAGCATCATAACGGTAATTCGAAAACTGACGGTTTGAATGTATAGTTGTGGGTTTGCTTGCAATGGGAGTCAAATCATATGAACCCCTTCTTCCTTCTGCATCTGCCTTCTGGAAACTCCGCCACCTGCGAGTGCGAACCCAGCCTCTAAAGCATCCAAATTTAAATTAATGGAATCTTCATTCTCAAAATCAAAACACTTGTTCAGACGGTAGGCACCAACCCACACATCCCCACCAAAAATATAAGCCACCCCAATTCCACAATTCTCCTTCAAGCTTTCAATCTCGTTTCTCTCTCTGTAAAAATCTGAACTTGCTCGCCCAAAACAGAGAATTGGATGAAGTTGTAGCAGCTCTGACTCTTGAACTTGGGTCCCTTTTCAGATTTTCTTTTGTTTCTTTCAATTTTGATCAGAAATGGGAGAAATCTCAAACTTCCAGGTGGGTGTTATTGGAGCACTCTTCCTATCGGTGGCATCCTCTGTCTCCATTGTCATCTGTAACAAAGCTCTTATGAGCAACCTTGGCTTCCCTTTTGGTGCGACTTCAATTCCCTTTTATATTAAACAGATTTGATTCAATTTACCACGAACTACCAGCCGATTTGATACACTTTCTTCAATGCAGCAACGACTCTCACTAGTTGGCATCTAATGGTAACATATTGTACCCTTCACGTGGCTCATCGCCTGAACTTGTTTGAGTCCAAACCCATTGATACAAAGACCGTCGTGCTCTTTGGGATGCTCAATGGCATCTCCATTGGATTTCTTAACTTGAGTTTGGGATTCAATTCTGTTGGATTCTACCAGGTTTGGCTCTGTTCTGGTTCTGTTTTTCTAGCGAACTCATCAATTGTTTTACAATTCATTTCGCCTTTTTTGTTTCTTTATGCAGATGACAAAACTTGCAATCATACCATTCACTGTTCTGTTAGAGACTGTTTTCCTTAAAAAACAATTCAGGTGGCAACCTTTTTGATCTCCTCTCCTCTGCCCCATCACAAAGAAGGGTTGATTGACTTTAATTTCTCACTTGGATTTGATTTTTTTGTTGCAGCTCTAAGATTAGGCTCTCTCTATTCCTCTTGCTGGTTGGAGTTGGCATTGCCTCTATCACTGATCTCCAGCTCAATTTTGTGGGAACTGTTCTCTCTCTCTTGGCCATCATTACAACCTGTGTTGGCCAAATTGTATCCTTCTTTCTTCTCTGCTCACACCCTTTTCCATTTCTTGCTTAAACCAGAGGATTTATCCTCTTTTTTTTCCTTAACTTGGTGTTTGAAACAGCTAACAAATACTATCCAGAAAAGGCTGAGTGTATCTTCAACCCAGCTGCTGTATCAGTCTGCCCCATTTCAAGCAGCTATTCTATTTGTTTCTGGCCCTTTCTTAGACCAATGTCTCACCAAGAAAAATGTGTTTGCCTATAAGTATTCCCCTGTGGTTCTGGTATGTTCCTGTCCTCTGGTCTCATCACATTGTTTATTGATATTCTCTTCTTCCATGGCCTTGAGAACAATGAGTGTGTGTTGCATTTTGCAGGCGTTTATCATTCTCTCATGCCTGATATCAGTGTCGGTCAACTTTAGCACGTTTTTGGTGATCGGAAAGACGTCGCCGGTGACGTACCAGGTGCTCGGCCACCTCAAGACTTGCCTTGTTCTTGGCTTTGGCTATACTCTTCTTCATGACCCTTTCACCGAGAGAAACCTCGTTGGAATTCTAATAGCCATTGCTGGGATGGGCTTGTATTCATATTTTTGTACTCAAGAGGGTAAAAAGAAGCAGGATGACCTCTCTTTAGGATCTCAGGTTTGCCTCTCTCTATCTAAAAATATGAATAAAGGACTAGTTTAAGCTTTTAAGATATCAGAATTCTTGTGTTCGAACTCTTGTAATGTCATTTCCTACTCAACTAATATTAATGGTCGTGATCTAAAACTATGTCAAAGTAAAGGGTTGAGAAAATGTATGTTACAGAATTGGGTTGTGGTTTGTTTCAGATAAAAGACAAGGAAACAGCAGCACTTCTAGCAGGAGTTCATCAAGATAAAGAAAACCTGGAAGTGAAGAAATCAAACAAGGATTCTCTGGTTTAATCAAGTAAATGGGCAATGGAGGGAGAAGATTATAGATCTTCAGGACAGTTAATGTTTTGTTTTTTTCTTTCTGAGAGAAGATGGTTTTGAATTCTTTGAATAAACACCCCATTTTGGTCCTCCTTTTCATTTTAATCTTCCTCTTAGGTCTTGTCTGGAGAGTGCTGGAAGAACCATTGCAGATCTTTATCATCAGTCTGTTGTTTTTCAGTCACCAGAAAGCTACAAGAATTGAAAAGTCTGCTGAAAAAATTAGTGCACAGTTCCCTTCACTTGCTACCAAAAGAAAAGCACTCTCCATTGGAGAAAGTTGAAAGAAGAAACAGATTTGTAGTGCAAAAAGATGAACATATTCAAACATTAACTTGTTGTTCATTACGAGGAAAGAGTAATTTTTGTCTCATATTTTCATTAAATTTGTAGAGTTTCTTCCATTTGTCATAGAATACAAGCCTGGGCCTCTGGCTTCAGACAAAAGCAAAAAGAAAACATGCCTCATGTGCCTATCTCACTGTTTTATTTCTTTGTTCTTTTGTCTTCAATGGATAAGCAGCTAAGTTGGAAGGAAGAAAAAATAACCTCTTTATCTTGTTCAAATTTTTTTTTTTTTTTTTAACTTCTTTCATTAGCAACAGCTGCAGCTGCAGCAGCTGCTGATAAGTTTTATTAGTTGCCAACTCATGTTGTTTCACTTTTACACATGTTTGTGTTTATAGCTTAGGTTTTAAGTCAATTTGGTTGATATCATGTCATGTTGTGTATCATAGTAGGTGTCATGTCTCTAGTCAATATTGTGTCTATTCTCTTGTTTTATTTATTACATTTGATCTTTGCAAGGATTCATTTTACTTCATTCTTGAAGAAAATGAGTGGTTGGTTGATTTGATGAGGGCTAAATCTTGGATTTCTCTTTGCATTGAGAATATGGTGCAATATTTCTACAACTTTAAAAATATAAGCATAATTAGGCAGCTTTTGGAGAATAAAATATGAGGATGGTAATTTCCTTGTTATTGTTATTATTTTTATTTTTGAGAGACATACGTGTTTGGTAATTGTTACTATGACACACGAGTAGAGAACATGAAAGGTACATGAATGAACCGGTACCATATGTGTATGATCGTTAAGAAATGCTTAAAAGAATTGATGGCTACTACCTATACTAACAAGATGCACATTTCTTTTCGGTTGCTCAATCATAAAAACTCTAAAGTTAAACGTGATTAGTTTGGAGCAATCTTCGAGAGACCTCCCTATTGATTTACTAGAAAACTTGTGAATAAGACCAAAGCATGCTAGAAGAACTCGTGTTAGTCTATAAGGATCATCTTTATTCTTGATAAAGACGGTGGCATAGTCGGATCGTAGGGGAATAACGGGCAATTAGGTGTCAAACCTAGATTCTGAACCTTGAGTTTGAGACGTTATAGTTACTGTTTTGCATTTCTCATTTTTGAAAAAACGTTTCCAAAGTTGGATAGAAATTTAGGAAATAGCAAAATCATGTTTCGTGTTTCCATTTCCAATGTTTTTCAAAACATAGATAAAAGCATAACCTTATCACTTTTGATTTATAAAATGCACAATAAATTTCAAAATATATATATATATAAATATAACATAAAATTTGAATATTTAATTTAAATTTTTTATTTTTATAAATTTTTTTAATTTAAAATTTCTAGAAACAAAAAAAATATATTACCCAACCTGTTTATGTTTCTTTTTTCAATAGAAAAGAAATAACAGAAAAACTGTGATCAAACACAATTCTATTTCTTTTAATTGAAAATAGAAAAAAAAGAGATTCAAAAAACAAGAAACTCAATTTTCCTGAAATGAACCTTTAATTGCTAGATTCCTACGCACGACAGGAAGTTGATTTTATGGCAAAAGTGAAAAGCATCAAGAATGGATTAAACATTACCCACCTTTTCTTTGATCCTCGTTATTGTTTAAACCCTTAAGTTTATGTCAATACGAGTATAACTCAGTAATGATTGACATATATCTCCAACCATGAAGTTGTGAGTTCGATCTCCCACCTCCACTATTATATAAAAAAATAAAAATAAAACTCCACAAATAAAGGAATGAGTCTAAGATGATTCAATTCTTCCTCATTGAACATCCAAGTTTTTCACCAAATTTACCATCAAAATTTATGTCATTTTGTTGTGGCTTATCAAGATATTACGATAAAATGAGTCTCTATCATTGAGACAATTTTTCCTTTTTTTGACAGCCCTCTCCCTACAGGGCTACCTCCAAGTAGTATGACAATCTCAAATTGGGGTCCACGCCAAGCTAGAAACAAAGGCAAAACCACCTAAAAAGGGGGCAAAAATAGAATTTCTCATTTGCTCTAGGACTCATTTCAAATTCCTACCCATTAAAAAACGTAATTATAATAAATAAATGGGTTAAGAAAAAATATATTATTTTCTTATTCGGCTTGTTTTTTAGATTCAGGTTGAATTTGAGTCAAATCTATTTAATGGTTAGGTTTCAATAGTTCAATAAATCTAACTAACTCATGACTTAAACACCTTTTTAAAATTTAAATTATAAATATTCTTCAGTTGACTCTCCATGCATTTTTGTTTTTGGCWACATTTATTATATACTCTTATTTTTCAAGTCGTGTAACAATTAAAAATTAAGAGACCGACCTTAATTAATTTGCCGATGTTAAYGTGCGAGATAAGAAGTACAACTATGAATCAATTAAGTCGAAAAGTACCATGGACTCACATTTAATTTAACTACCTTTTTTTATTAGTGAAATAATCAATATCCACAAGTATCTTAATAACCGTTACCTAATGTATAAACTACATCATACGTCTGTCTCATTTCTATGGGAAAAAATTCAGTTAAACATCAATATTAATGATATAGGATGTCTCTGACTAGAGTTATGCTCCAAATTAATTAGAATAARATATTGAAATCGTCGTGAATATTATTTTYCTTATGTTGTATTTTAGCAAAAGAAACTTTTGTTGGTTAAAATTGTTTTGAGACCCCTCAGATCTTTTGAGAAAAGCTTACTTTGCTTTGTTTCTAAAGATATATATATCTCCAACATGGTTAACAAGTATTTAGTTAATTTTTTAGTCGGTTTTTTAGTATTTCTTTTTATCTTAAAATTACAAACTCAATCTTTAGGTTCCAAATTCTTAAAAAGTTGTAATTATATTTCTAAACTTTAGTTCCTGAATCTAAAAAATCCCAACAATCAACCTCGTCAACTAAATGATCCAAAAAAAATTTTTAAAAGAAAGACAGAATTTGACATGCTAATTAATTTCTATGTATTTATAACATTAAGAAGAGTAAATGAAAGAAAGATTACAAAACCTTAAGTATTTTAAATTTATCTTTTTGAATTAGAATAAAGTAAGACAAAGAGAGGATATTATCTGTCCTTTTTTTTTTTTTCATTTCTTTGCTCCTAGTTGTAAATATTTATTGGTTAGTAGTTACCGTGACATGTTGATTTAACTAATTTGATATAAGTAGCTTATAAATTTATAATTTAAAATTGAACTGACGTGAGAAAGGCCCAATTTTGGATCACATGGGTCGGCAGTGGTGGAAGGAAGTAGCAGATGCAGTGGTGTCTGCAAACTTGTCGGTATAGGCCCAATTTAAGCTCTGCCACTCTGTTTTTCTTTTTCTCAATTTTGTACCCAATTATTTTAATGACTCGTTTCTCTTCCTCTTCAACTTTTAACTCTCTTCTATTCCACTCCAAAGTCCAAAGAGAGCAAGTAAAAGAGATAATTAATGGCTGAAGAATATATATATATATATATTTTTTAACTCCATCTCAATCTCAATCTCAATCTCAATCTCAATCTCAATCTCAATCTCCATCAATGTCGTTGGTATTAGGCAGCATTAATTCAGAGGTCATTAATTTGTTTTAACTATGACATGTTTCTATCAATCTATATATCGGCTTTTAAGCTCTATGTCGGTATCAATGTTAGATTCCAAATACCCAACTAACTTAACTAGTTCCATTCCAATCTCCTCTCTTCCCAAAAAATTATTAATATAAAAATTCCACGTCATATTTTTAGATGACAACGATTCAGCAATAGTTGTCTCCAATTCTGCTGATGCGACATGTCGGCAATGACGTAGCTACTTCACCACCCAACACCTCTCTCTCTGTTAGCCCCATTTTCTCCTGATTTTGGCCCACTCCCACTGCCACTGCCATCGTAATTGCATTCGTTTTTCTTTTTTAAAAAATTTAATTTCTCTTTTGAAAAAAAAAAAAAAAAGAAAAAGTTTTTATTTGTTAGAAAGGGTGTCGGTGTCGTCTGTGGGACAATGTTGTGTTGCGATGTCGTATTCGGGTATCCATAAAAAGGTCGCCTTTGTATTCAATCTTTGTGCGTTTGGGACAACCGTTGCCTTCTGCCAAAGCTTTTGGGCTTGCCAATTTTCCTCACCCTTTTTTTTTTCTTTTAATTATTTCTAATTTTGGGAATTTTAATTTGTTCTTCTGCTTGCTTAAATTAATCATTCTTCTTTTCTTTTCTTTTCACTCTTAGGCCTTAACATAGGTTGTGGGTACCATCTTCTTTCAAGATCTTGAACGGGATAGTTTTCTTTGGTTTCATGTCTCGTTCATAATTTTAATATTACATCGTCATTTCTTCCAAAAAGCTATTTCATATTAATATTCATAGGGTTTAATCTTAAAACTAATTAACGATGATATGAGTAGTCCATATCTATTATAAACCTATATAAGGTCTTTTCTTTTATCAACCTAAGATCCTTAATAAAGTTTTTCTATTATTCGTTTCTCTCGTAAGGTTGTTACGGTTTGCATTTTTCTTTTTTCCTATCATTTGGGTTATTTATAAATGATTGAAAAATAATGTTGGTAGATATCGATAAAGAATTTTCTGAAAGCAACTATGGCAAATTGATACGTGACCTTAAACATGAATCAATCTACGCAATGGTTGGAATCGAGTAATTAGTGCCACGCCGTGTAGGTTATTGGATTAAACTGAACTCATATACAACTTGTAACGAAGGACACTCAACCCTATTGAGTTTTTGGTGTCATCCTTCAAAACTATTTGAGGAAAGTTAAAGTAGTAAGGTATTTCAATGTACTACTTTCGTTGCTTCATTTTGAGATCCTTTATGGTTTTCTTTGGTATTCGATTTGCACAAAAGATGAGATTTAGAAAAGCTTGGGGTTTCTTATTAGGAAGATGGAAATTCTAAATGATGCTAGCAATTTGGTTGTTGACATTCGAGAAGTTGCAAAGGATTTCTCCTCTAGTTTCCTTCTTGCATGTTGGGCGAAAATTAAATACAAAAGCAAAATTTCTTGCTATTTTGTGGACAAGTTGTTTTCCCTTTATTAATGTACGTGAAGAAGTTGGCTTTTCAAATATAGCCCACATAGCACATTATAGCTGAATAATTTTTTTTTCTTATATTTGTTTAATAAATAATTAAAAAAAAAACTAACAACTATACGATTAACTTTAAAAAGTAAATATTGTAGCCTGAGATTAAAACACTATTTTGATCACTATACTTTCAGTTTTGTTCATTTTAGTCTTTTTATTTTCTAAATATTCATTTTCGTTCCAATTCTTTTAGCTTTAGTACAATTTCATCTTTGTATTTTCAAAATATTCGTTTTAGTCTTTGTACTTTTAAAATGTGATCATTTTGACCGTATTTTCAAAATTTTAACGTAAATTATACACATAACGCTAACACTTTAATAAAAAGTCAGAGTTACACTTCAAGAAATATATTGAGGGTAGTGTAATGTTGAATTTCTGATAAAAAAAATTAAAAAAAAAACTAAATTAAAGGATAAAAACAATCATTTTTAAAAGTACAATGTCTAAAATGAACCTTTTGAAAATGTAAGAACCAAAATGAATTAAAGTTTACAAGGAACAAAACAAGAAATATATTGAGGGTGATGTAATGTTGAATTTTTGATAAAAAAAATTAAAAAACTAAATTAAATGATAAAAACAATCATTTTTAAAAGTAAAGTGTTTAAAATGAACCTTTTGAAAATGCAGGAACCAAAATGAATTAAAGTTTATAAGGAACAAAACGAATAAAACCTAAAAATACAATGACCAAAATAAAATTTTAACCAAAAAGTAATAATAAAAATTACTTAAAATTTTTTATTTTGTTGGCGATTATTTAAAGCACGATGATCTTATGCTATATGAATGCCCTGATTTCAGAGTTCCCAAATGTCCAAAATCTTAAATGTTCGAAATTTTAGATACTCATAAATACAAATGTCTTTGATATTTTGAATAGTTTTGTTTCGCAGAAAAGTTTATAATATGTTTGAGAATATTTTAATTGTTATATTTGTTTTTGTAGAATTTTTAACGGTGAATCCTCAAAATTATATACATGTTTCAAAATAAGCCCTTACAATAGTTAGGTAATTTATACGTTGATTTTTACGTATTTATTAATTTGTAGAACACTATTTATATTAATTTGATATTTTACAAAACATTCAATATTTCCAATTTGAACTTGAATTTTTTTTCTCAAAAGAAAATTAATTATTGAGGATATTTTTATTGGATTATATTAAAAATTTGAGAGGAATCATATTGTAAGAATCTACGGACAAAAAAAATATAGAGCTACTATATAATTAATTTAAATTTATTTTAGCATAATTGTGATATATAAATAAGCCTAGGGTTATTTATTAGTGAAAGAGTACATTAATTTATTTAAATTATAAAAATAAAAATAAAAAAAAATCAATAAAAGAAAATATATGAGAAAAGAATGGAAGGTAAAACTGTAAAGAGGCTAACTAATTTCAACTTCGAGAATTTTGGAAACTTGTGTTTAAGGAGAGCATTCAAAATACATTAGATATTTTATGTTGGGACAAATTAGAATACTGTGACATCTTACAATGCCATAACCTGGGTCGATCCGACTGGCGGCTCCTGCATTCTCCTGCGTCTCCATGGGATAATGTCCTACATTTCTGCAAAACTAATGTTGGAATCGAGATGTCTGTCCTATGAGATTCTTGGATTCACACGAAATAAACGAGCCTTAGGGCTTGCAAGATTAGCAAAATAATAATAATAATAATGATGATAATAACAACAATAATAATAATAGTATGAATTTGTAAAAGTAGTAACCACTTTTTAATTTTAAAAAATAGCAAAATTTGAAGGTCCAACCCACATCGAAGAGACTAGAATATATCCTTAACGAACACAAAACTCAAATAATGATATACATGATATATACCTAATTTGATATACAAAAGATATACCTCATATCTCACTTCTCTTTATTGTATTCAGTTTCTCTTATTAAATTGGATTGTGTTATTTACAAATTTTAGATGAAATGTTTGCCTTTTGTAATCTAAATGTATGTCTTCTATACTTGATATGAATGTTGATACACTCAAGTTATTATATTATTTAAGAAATCAATAACACCAATATACCTGATTATGAGTGCTAATATATCAACTATATACTTCATATAAATATTGATATATCAATGATATATATATATATATATATATATACATGATCCGATATATTTGAAAATCTAGAACAGTAAAATTGAAATAATTGAAAATTTGAAAATCAAATTTGAAATATTTTATCATAAAAGTTGTTGCTATATTTGTATTTACAAAATATTTTAGCTATATATAAATTTTCATTAATTAAATGTTGACATTGGATATATTCAATAAAGAATTTACATTTATTTTTCTATTGGATGTACAGTAAATAAAATTCAAAATATCGAAATATCAAATCAAACGTAACTAAATTGATTACGACGCATATCTCCAACTAAAAAATTGTGTGTCGTCTAAGAAAAATTAAAAATATTCTAAAAAAGGAAACGGCCCTRGAAATAGGATCCCAGCCTATTTGTGCCCTACATTTCTGTAGGGTCTTAAAGATAAAAGTACATTTTTTCAGGTCGAATAAAAATTATTATAATTATCAGCATGTTTAGATCATAAATTTTAATTTAGACCAAATTGTTTCCTTTTTTTTTTCAAGTTGACTTCCTTAATTTTTAATTTAGCCTTTTTTTTTCAATTAAACCATTATTGTCAATGAATGTTAAATAGGGTTGATTCTAAGCTTATTGCATCATATTTAATAACTTGGCAAATATTTTAGAGAGGGATTAAGTTACTTTAAAGATAAGGAAATTTTTAACTTTTCTTCCAAATTTTTTAGAAGTTTGCAGAAATTTCAGTTTTTTCTCTCTAATATTAAGTAATTTAGTTTCTCCAAATCTAACATCTGTTGATGATAAATAATAAAATATAAAAGATTAGATTAGAACTTTCTAAACAGGTGTTAGATTAAAAAAAAATATCCAAATAATATGACCAAAGCATATATCTAACTAATTTTAATTGATGAGAGTAGATATTGGGTATGCAAAAGTTAAATTTAAGAACATAAAGAAAAAAGACTATTTTATTTTGATGGAAAAAAACAAATAAAATTATATTTTTATACACCAGGGTCGAGATTTGAATTCACTACATTTCTTTTGATTAGAGATAGGACATAGCTTAAATAGTTGAGCTTTTAAGTTGGTAGAAATTCATTAATATATATTTAACTAACTAAGATTATTATTATTATTATTATTATTATTATTATTATTATTATATATATAAATAAAGTACAATATGTATGGGTGAGGGATCGAACTCACAACTTCTTGGTTGGTGTTGTAGATAGATGTCAAAGTTGAAAATATATATTAATTACCGTTGAACTATGCCCACTTTGATGATTAATATTATAATATTAGTTATGCGTGATAATTAAAATAAAATAGTACAGAACATTAGGTTGGTGTTCGTAACTTATTAATTAACAATTTCCAATTAAAGCATATGAATATTAATTATTAGGAGAAAAAATTAATTGTTTCACCCATTCGTTTCTCAGGGAAAAGAACCCATTTATAGGGGCAACAAACAATAACTCGTCTGTAATTTTACTTAAAAAAAGAAAAAGAAACTAACTGATAAATTTTCGTTTTTGACTTTATTTTTACAAATAATTAATGGAGTGCTAAACTTGAAAGGAATGAAATAAACGGCCCTAATAGACCCTACCGCAATGACGCTAATTTATGACCTCGCTGACTGCGGTGATTTTTTATTTTTATTTTTTTCCCCTCCTTTTTACAATTTTTTTCCCTATGCTTCCAAAAATTTTGTGATAAAAACTTTTTGTTCTAGAGAAGATAAAAAACATTCTACAAGTGCATTTGGAGTGAAAATGAAAAAATTTAAAATGTCAAAATCATACGAATTTGTCAATTGGTTAAGACATCTAATTAAAAAGTTTCTTGAACCAAAAAGAATATAAAACACGTGTATTGTGATATTATTTTATTTAGTTTTAGATTTCAGATTTTGTAGGAGGTAGTCAATTATTGGTTAAATGAGTTCCTAGAATAGAGGTCCGTGTTTTCCTTGGTTTTGGGATTTTGTTAGTAGTGGTTGTTTTCAATGTAACTGTATTTGAGCAATGAGAAATGAAGAAAATATATGCAGAAGTTTTATGTGAGTAAACCTAAAGAGAGGTTTAGGCACTCAAAATACATGTTTGCCATTATTAAATTTTAACCATTTTCTTTCTTACCAGCTGATACATTTTTAACTTCTCATTTACCTCTCTGTGGGTGAACAAAATAAAACTAGGTGAAAGTTGAAATTGAGATTGGATAAATGGGAAAGGAAAAGGAAAGGAGTTTTTGAGAGAGAACAAAACGAGGAATAAAATCAGAAAAAGGGCAGAGTCCGAACAGAGCGGGGTTTAGCAATAAATAAAAATACAGAGACTGTGAGAGAAATGAAACAGCATTTGTCTCCTACTTCCTCATTCACTGTTCCCTTTTAATCGTCGCCACTCGCGAGACGATACGAACCACAGCTTCCCCTTCTCCGTCCCCTTGGTTTCTCGTTTTCCTTTGTCCATTTCCAGATTGTTTCTTTGTTTGGTTGTTTTAATTTGTTTGTTTGCTGGAACCAAGAACCAAGAACCAAGAACCTTGCTCCGGCTCCATATTTGGGATCTAAACACGCATACAACAAACCCCCACGATTCCACAGATCGCCCAGCCCAGCTGAGGGAGGTGTTCATCCTCTTCACAGATTCAAAAACAACAACAAGGGTGACCCATTTCTTATTTCTCTGCTTCTACTGGGTTTTGGCTGAATTTGGCTCTGTTTCGCTCTCGCCTCGTCGTGTCAGTTGCAGAAATCAGTTGGGTTTTTTTCAAATTTCGTTTTCAGGGTTTGTCTTTTGACTTTCCATCCATAAACTTTAAGCAACCGAAGATGTTGAATCTAAGGGTTTTGGGTTTGATTATTGCATTCCGGGTGTAGCGTTCTTCATCTGTAGAGTTGAGTTTTTCATCAGTGGCGAGCTGATTGTTGTTCTGCTACTCTCGGGAGCGCAAATCCGTTTGTTCTTTTCAATCAAGGAAGCTGTATTGGCCACAAAATAAGGGGAAAAAACTGGGTTTTCCTGGCGCATTTCTACCGAGAAAGGTGAGAGCAATCTTATGTGATCATTTAAATTTAATCAGAAATTAAACCCTTAAGATGTAGAAGCCATTTTACTTTGAAAAACACTGTTTCTCATCAGTTTCGTTTTTTTCCCCTTTCCTCAGGCATTACATTTGGGGAAAACGCAATCCTTCGAATGAAAGAGGCCGAGAAAAATTTAGATCCTCAACTATGGCATGCCTGCGCCGGAGGCATGGTACAGATGCCGGCTGTTAACTCCAAGGTTTTCTACTTCCCTCAAGGCCACGCCGAGCACGCTCAGGCCACCGTCGATTTCACCTCCTCACTCCGAATCCCTGCCCTAATTCCTTGTCGAGTCGTCGCCGTCAAATTCTTGGCCGACCATGAAACCGACGAAGTTTTCGCTATTATAAGATTACTCCCACTGGCAAACAACGACCTCAACAATTTCGACGAAGACGGAGCTTTCGGGAGTAATGGGTCTGACAATAATATGGAGAAACCCGCTTCCTTTGCCAAGACGTTGACCCAATCCGATGCCAACAACGGCGGTGGCTTCTCGGTTCCAAGGTACTGTGCGGAGACGATATTCCCGCGGCTGGATTACACGGCGGATCCGCCGGTTCAGACGGTGATTGCCAAGGATGTTCACGGCGAAGTTTGGAAATTCCGGCATATTTACAGGGGGACGCCTCGGCGGCATTTGTTAACGACTGGATGGAGTACTTTTGTGAATCAAAAGAAGCTGGTCGCCGGCGATTCGATTGTTTTTCTGAGATCCAAAAACGGTGACCTCTGCGTCGGAATCCGGCGAGCCAAGCGAGCAATTGGGTCTGCCGCCGAGAGCCCATATGGGTGGAATCCCGGCGGTGGGAATTGCATCCCGCCTTACGGTGGATTGACAATGTTTCTGAGAGAGGAGGAGAGCAAGTTGAGTAGAAAAGGTTGCTTGAGTTCCAGTGGTGGTGGGAATTTGAGGGGAAAAGAGAGAGTGAGGCCGGAATCAGTAATTGAAGCAGCGGCGCTGGCGGCGGGTGGGCAGGCGTTTGAGGTGGTTTATTACCCACGTGCGAGCACGCCTGAGTTCTGTGTGAAGGCCTCATCGGTGCGAGCCGCGATGAGAATCCAGTGGTGCTCTGGTATGAGATTCAAGATGCCATTTGAAACTGAGGATTCTTCTCGAATTAGTTGGTTCATGGGCACAATTTCTTCTGTTCAAGTTGCTGATCCTATCCGCTGGCCTAATTCTCCATGGCGCCTTCTCCAGGTACTGTCCTCCTTCTCCTCTCTGTTTCATTCACTGTTCTCTGCAATTTCTTCCGTTCTGGACTCTGCCATTACAGAGCATTTATTCACCTGAGGAAGCTGCTTTTAATACTGAAGATTTGATTTTGTCTGGTTTCATTTATTCCTTGTGAACTTGAAATATTTCTAGGTACTCAGAAATAATATACTCTTTCTGGGGTTTATTTGGTCTGCCTCATCTTCATTTGGTTTCTTGCTAAATATGTCACAGAAGAGTTATCAAAATGTGGGTTAGATAGGATTTCACGATATAGATGAGATTGCTTCAGGTTTGATTTTGGATGAAAGAATACTTCTTCCATCATTCTACTCATGTTGTGATTTAACCACGTATCATTTGCATTTTACTTTAGTGGTTGCTGAGGAACTAGTTTTGCTTGAATGCTAGAGATGATTTCTTGGTCTTATGATTTGTATTACTTGCATTCTTCAAGTAGTGCGACTTGTAGAACCCTCAAATTGTCATTTCTTAACTGCTATCGAAAATATTGGTTTTTTATTTTTAAGGTTCATTGCTAAAGTATGATTACTAGCGTTATCCTATTCTTGAATTATATGGTAAAACCTACTACTGCAGGTAACATGGGATGAGCCAGATTTGCTGCAGAATGTGAAGCGTGTTAGCCCTTGGTTGGTTGAACTGGTATCGAACATGCCCGTCATTCAACTATCACCATTCTCTCCACCGAGAAAGAAGTTTCGACTACCACAACACCCAGACTTTCCCCTCGACGGCCAATTCCCATTTTCGTCGTTTTCAAGCAATACCCTAAGGCCAAGCAGCCCCATGTGTTGTTTATCTGATAACACTTCTGCAGGCATACAGGGAGCCAGGCATACTCAATTTGGAATATCTTTATCAGATTTCCATCTCAACAACAAACTGCAATTAGGGCTGGTCCCATCCAGTTTTCAGCAGCTTGATTTTCACTCTAGAAGTTCCAATAGATCAGTTAAAGACCACAGAGACAGCAGCAGTCAGAACTCACCGGTGTTGCTAACCGGGGAAAATACCGGTCCAAAGTTGGAACGATCTGATTCGGTGAAGAAACATCAGTTTTTACTCTTTGGTCAACCTATACTCACTGAACAGCAGATCACTTGCAGCTCTTCTGGTGACATTCGCTCACCTCAGACGGAGAAAAGCTCCTTGAATGTGAATCTGGAGAGAGTGAAGTTTTTATCTGATGGCTCAGGATCCACTTTCAAGCAGCAAATTTCTCCAAATAAGTCACCAGGAGCAGGATTTCCATGGTACCATGGTTACCAAGCCACTGAACTTGGCCTAGACATTGGTCACTGCAAGGTATTCATGGAGTCGGAAGACGTGGGCCGAACACTCAATCTTTCAGTCATTGGCTCATATGAAGAACTATACAGGAGGCTCGCGAACATGTTCGGGATGGAAAAACCAGACATTCTCAGCCATGTGCTGTACCAAGATGCGACAGGTGCTCTCAAACAAGCTGGAGATAAACCATTCAGGTACTAACAAAACAATCCTGGTAGCTCATTCTTTAAATCTTCTTCACATATGATTTCATCCTTAGTTGCATTGTTCCTACACCGATCAACTTATATGAAACGCAATTGTCTTCTTCTTCCTCGTGACTTCAGTGATTTTATCAAAACAGCTAGAAGACTGACAATTCTAACAGACTCGAGGCCCGACAAGATCGGGAGGTAAGTAGTATTTAACTTCCCATTTCTTGCCGTCATTAGTGTGCAGAATAAAATGATGGATGAAAGTTGAAAACCCTTTTGTAGGACATTGATGGATGGAATGCGCAATGCTGAAAATGGATTAGATGCCTCAAACAAGACTGGCCCCTTGAGCATATTTGCGTAGCCCTGCACCTTTCTTTATTATGATGACACCCCAATTGTATCTGCAGAATTCTGCTTGTTTCTTGGGAAAAAGACTTTTCAGTTTTCAATCATTATGTTAATCGTGTTGTTGTCTTACCTATGTATCAATATCATCACATCAAACGCCAAACTGTCTATAATATCTAACTGGATCTTGATGCCCAATGTTAGTCCTGTTTTCCTTTATCCTAATAATATCTAAGCGAGCGTTCTCAAAACGCCGAGATAACCCCAGTTCAAGTGGGATTTATGCAACTTTGACAACATTCATATTGGTTCGAACGATATAACTTCTCAGTTTCTAAATTTTCGACGCCCTTTTAAGAGGGTTAACCTAACGAAAGTTGTAGTTTTGATCGATAATAAATGTGTAGCCTTAAAAAAATGGAACCTTTGCACATGGATTGGGCAAAGGAATTAATTGCACAATGTTATACCAAACCAGAACGTGGTCTAGCCTACCGCACCTGAGTCACATTTTTGTAGAGTTGCCTAGGCTAGGCCCCTCCTCTCTTGTGGGTTGGTTTTGTAATTTTCAAGTCAAAGTGGGTCTTTTTGCAAATCCCAAAAAAACACATTACCTAAATAAATAAATTATAATCAGTGGGTCATAAACTGACCGCACGTGGGATTGGGGTAACACTCACGTGCCGTCCACCATTTTGTGTCGCCGTTTTGGTGCTTGTGCTTGTTTCTAATTTCTAGCCATTGATGGCACAGTTTGGGAGTTCGAGATTTGACCCCTCTTTTTCATTAACACAATTAATTAATTTAATTCAGCTGTAATTATATTAATATAATAATCTCCGTTCAAATCCATAATTGCTGAGGCAACCAAACCAAACCTCATGAAGATCCCAATGCTAACATGTTCACGTGTGGTGTGGTGAAGTAAAAGTAGACAATTGGTCAATGATTTTGAACTTGGGACCAAACAAATTATTTACCCTTTTTTTATTTCGTTAAGTAAATTTATCTATCATTTTAAATATAACTCGAATACAAATACCAGTTCTTTTTATTAAAAGCAAAAAAAAAATACTAATTTAAGAATAGACAGAAGAGCCTTTTTTGGGGGAGAAAAATTGAATGATGGAGTTATGAGTCACACAAAATATATATTAAAAAATAAATGATGGGAGAGAAATAGGGTATTCTTAATTGTTGTGACTAAAATGAGGGCTGTGTTGCATGTGTTAATGAGTGTTACATGGCTGTCATTTTCCATCTATTATTTCCCAATATGAATGCATTCCTTAATTATTTCATTAATTAATTTCAACATGCTAATCCTACTGTACTAATCCCTTCTATTCCATATATAAGTTTTCGCTTTAACATCAAGCAACTTGTGTGTTTTACACGTGATCCAAGAACCACACGTGACACAACCTTTATCCAAAAAAAAGAAAACATATTTGAATTAAAAAGAAAAATAAAAAAAGGCTTATCGTGTGTGTTAATGTAAAGTTGAAACAAAGACACCTAAAATAATATTTTAAATGCTACTTGTATTATTATTGATACATCGGAGACTATATATTATATATACTATGAAATAAATATTATATACACATGCAGGCACGCAACAACCCCTTTTCTTTAGGCACATTAATTAACGCAGTATATTTTTATTTGGACCTCTACCATTGGTCCACGTCACTCACAATCTCCAATTTTCTCCTCGTTTGATTGCCTAACCAAATAAATTAATGAAATTCAATTTCCAATTGTTTAAAATAAAACAATAACCCGGAAAAAATAAAATAAAATAAATGTCTTGTTTTTTTTAAACTGAATATTTTGATCTATGTTTGTAAAACTTTCATACACAAAAGTAAATTTTTTAATATAAAGTTAAGAATATATTTTAATAAAAGTGTTGAGTATAATGCTGTACTAAGATTATTAACTTTTTAAATGTATAAATTAAAGTAGATTTAAAAAATACGATGATTAAAATAAATATTTTAAAATGTATGGATAAAATTATCAAAATTCGAGAGTAAAAAGAATAATATTTAATGTTGTTA